TTTTAATTTTGCTGGAATTGTTTTTGTGCTATTTGATGATGTTTGTCTTTTTTATTTTCAGCATTTACAATAGCTGCTTCTCTACCATACGACATAGACCTTGATAATTTCAGTCCCGAGGAGATAGAGCAAGCTATGCAGATGGTTGATGATGTCCCAGTAAAGAGAGGAATGTGTCGTTCTGGTTTCATATATCAGGCAATAACTCGTGATTGCATCCCTTCACTTGGGGTAAATACTGTTATATCACGCATAAATTCTAATTTAGTCAACAACGGTGAAATGCGGTGGTCCTTTGGCCATCATTGGATATTTTGATGCGCAAGACTGTATCGTTTGTAAATACATGAATTGACAATATTCATGTTGATAAACGTTAAACTTTCTATTAAAACTTCAGTATTAAATTATTAAAAGTTGGCCTGCTGTTTTTTGTATTTTCTAAATAATGCCTAAGACCACCAAAACGGATATACCGAACTTTAAAAGTAATCAATGACTATGAATTTCCTATATTGAGCAACACTATAGGTTTGTAACAATGATATATTGTTAAATCATTTATAACTATTATAAAAAAAAATATTATTACCAGCAAATATATATTAAATGTATTGTGCAGTACAATCAGGGTGGTATTAAGTACTATAATGATCAATTATTTTCGATTCCAGGTACTTCGTGGACGAGGGCGTCACGGGAGACGTGGACGACGTGGTTTAACAGCGTGGTCCTGGAGACGAGCTTAAAATGATGTTGTACGCGTGTTTAAAAAAAACAGTTATAAGTTATTGTTCTATGGTTGTGCCATAACATAAGCTAAAACTTTTGATCAAAGTATAATATATTGTAAAATGTTTATTCAGTTTTGCTATCAAGCACAGCAGTTTAATTTCAATCATGGATTATAAATTGCTGAGTCGTGTCTACAAAATAAAGATATCCCTTTTCGAAAATAATTAAAATGTGATGAATGTGGGTGATATGTAGATTTATAACCTCATGAAACTTACTTTTACAAACTAAGTTATTGTAAGAAAAACACGAATGATGCTACATCAGTTCTTATTTATATTTCATATTGTGTTATGAACATTAAGGATTATATGTGCACATTGCTGTTTGTAAATTTGTTTCAGTTTTATGAAGATTAAAAACATTACTTTTTGTGTAATTATCATAATATCATATTAAAATTTGTGTCCAGTTAAAGAATAGTAAAGGCATATGGACAATGTTATAAAGTTTATTTCAGCAAGATTGAAATGATAATATAATTCACTTAATTATTAAAAAGAGTTATATATTATTGTCTAAATTTAAATAAATTCTATATTATAACTTTTTCCTCTTGGTATTTATTGCAATAACAGAAAGGGTAAAATTTACGAGAAGTATCTTTAAAAATGATACCAACAGATTCCACTGCAACTGTCATATTCCATGTGATAAATTTGATCTAATTTAGAGAACAAATATGAATTTCAATCTTCATATAACTTATTTATCACACACCCGTGCCGATTTTGCGACTCCGTAAATATGGTATTGCACGGCCGTGCATATATTTTGACGTGACGTCATTAGCGTTAAACAAACATAGTGTAAAGACGCGCTAAATGTTAGCGTTATACTATAGGCGCGTCAATGAAAATTGACTCTTATTTCACTTAAAACGGTCATTTTTTGGGGGTATGTGATAAATAGAATATTAAATTCGTGTAAGTTCATTACTGAATTTATTGCACTCGTTGAATAAAATAATATTATGCTCGCCAGAGGCTCGCATAATATAATTTTATTCAACTCGTGCAATAGATTCAGTATTGAACTTACACTCATTCAATATCCTCTATTTAATTATTTCTCGTATATAACTGCACAGCAGAACAAAATAATCTTTTATTTTATGCTTTTCAGTGGATTACTGATTTATCCGTAAAAATTATATTTGATAATTTCACAGTGAAAATTATCAAAATATAATTTCACACTTTTCAATGACGAAACTACTTTTTTAAGATTTTCCCCATGTGATACCTCAATTTTATTTTTGCTGACACTTCTGACAATGTCAGGCTGTGTAAAGAAAAAGCAAAGCTGAAATTGATAATTAACTTAAATGTCAAAAGTAATAAAAAGAAGAAAACTTATTTCTATTCATTCAAATTCCAATCACCAAATTTCGTCTCTTAATTTTTTTGTTTCATTTTTACAGTCTGAAAAATACATTCCTTCCCCATGCAAAACTGCTCTTGATGGCATTTGGGCATATTAAAGTATCCTACGAGCAATAACTGCCGTATGCTTTATGACAAGAGCCCGGTTTGAGCCGGGTGATGCTCCCCGAATAGGTTTTGGACACAGGAAAGTACACCTCTTGTCGTTTCAGAGTTATGTTCATGGAAAAAATTCAAAGTGCAATATTTCCAAAATTAGGAAAGGCAAAGTTACTGTTCTTTGCACTGCACTTCTACTCACTGTTATCTATCAACTTACCAAGTTTCTTGTTGATATCTCTTATGGTTTCCGAGTTATGTTCCGGACAACTTCAAAAAGTAAAAATAAACAAAGGGCAATAACTCCAGAATTAGGCAAAACAGAGTTATGATTCTCGTGCACTGCACATCTACCCATTGAGATACATCAACCTACAAAGTTTCATGTTGATATCTCTTATAGTTTTACAGCTATGTCCAGTACAAGATTTTTCTTAAAGGGGAGATAATTAAAAAATGAGGCTTAACAGAGTTATGTTTTTTTTGCACTGCACTTCTACTCAATGAGATCTATCTACCTACAATGTTTCATCTTGATATCTCTTATAATTTTAGAGTTATGTTCCGGACAAAGTTCACTGTTAAAATTAACTAAGGGCAATAACTCCAAAATTAGGACAAAAAGAGTTATTGTTCTTATGCACTGCACATCTACCCATTGAGATCTATTCACCTACAAAGTTTCATGTTGATATCTCTTATAGTTTTAGAGTTATGCCCCAGACAAGATTTTTCTATAAGGGGAGATAATTCAAAAACCGGGCAAAATAGAGTTATGGTTCTTTGACACTGCACATCTACCCATTGAGATCTATTCACCTACAAAGTTTCGTGTTGATATCTCTTATAGTTTTAGAGTTATGCCCCGGACAAGATTTTTCTATAAGGGGAGATAATTCAAAAATGAGGCTTAACAGAGTTATGGTTCTTTTTCACTGCACTTCTACTCAATGAGATCTATCTACCTACAATGTTTCATCTTGATATCTCTTATAGTTTTAGAGTTATGTTCCGGACAAAGTTCAAAGTGTTGAAATTAACAAAGGGCAATAACTCCAAAATTAGGACAAAAAGAGTTATTGTTCTTATGCACTGCACATCTACCTATTGAGATCTATTCACCTACAAAATTTCATGTTGATATCTCTTATAGTTTTAGAGTTATGCCCCGGACAAGATTTTTCTATAAGGGGAGATAATTCAAAAACCGGGCAAAATAGAGTTATGGTTCTTTGTAGTCCAACTAATTAGACTTGTCAAAGAGACACCGAGATAATTTTGGACGGGCGCTGTCTTTTTCCAAGTCCAACCACAAACTGCATTTTTATGCACGGACGCTTCCCAATTAGAAGTTGTTGGGAGCGAAAACTAAAAAAGTTTCAAAGAAACGGTCTACATTACCTGAAAGAGAACCGTTTTTTATGCAAGGTTCCAAGTTATCATACTTTAAAGTCGAACATAAGTCTAAATATTCCACTTTAACTTTTTAAATCGTTGAAAATTATTGTAAGCGGCCATATTGGAAAATGACGCAAGCGGTGACAGGGTAAAACAGGGTAAAATTGTAAAATTTCCATGGTGTAACACAGGTATCGGCAGCAATCGATTGTATTTGTCAAGCTTTATAATATAATTTGTTTAAGTTATTTATTATGAATTATGCAGGAATAACTTTTTTTTCACACAAAAATATTTCAGCATTAAAAATAAAATGTGAAAAGGATATTCTGATAACCTTACTTAGATGTCCGACGTCAGATCATACTGCATTTTAAAAGTCCATTTAAATTGTCAAATTAGAAATTGTAATGTCGGATTTTTTAACATCTGTGATCATTAGGTGAAATTTCTGAACTGCCTTTTTATTTCATAACCCTGCCATGACCTCGCACATATGAAAATACAATGTAATTGTAGGTACATCTTAATGAATTATAAGTATACTATACATGATGAAGCAAAGAAGAATTTCAATTTATATTAAACTTCCTATCAATTTCTAGTTTATTATCTTTAAAAAAATTGAGGACAGTTGTGTAGGGGAAGAAGTTCAAAACAACCAAAAATAACTTTAAATTCTGAGAAAAAAATCTTAAAATTTCAAACTATAAAATGGAATTTCAGACAGTCCTCAGAAAAAAGGCAATTGTCGAACAGATATGACGGGGTTTATGATAAAAACGCAGCAAGCGGAAATTTAGTGACCCTTATTTGAGACGTAGAATAGCATAACAATGTAAGACAGATAGGAGAAATAGTCTGATTAGATTACTGTAGTCGTCTGTTAGAACGACTGTCGCAAAATGACACCAAAAACTATATCCATTTAAAATTCCATGTTATCTAGTTCCCGCTTTTCCCGCACCTCGAATGTGTTGCATTGAAAGTTCCATGATTACCGCCGTATTTTGTACACATCTGTGGGTGTTGATTAAAAGTTCTACATTATTATGTTTAAGTGATGAATTCTGTTGAAACCGGCGCAAGGGAGCACATGTACCTACCAGAGCCGTCTTTGGCACCCATGTGTATTTATGTTTCGGTTTTGCAGTTTCAGGCGTTTTTTTGGTGTTTTTTTTTTTTGAGGGCGGATATGTGGATAAGTTTTTTTCTGTTTTTCTTTACATTTCTTTTGCTTGCTTGTCGAACCTTGTATTGATAATCATTATCTGTTTGTTATGGTTTGGTTCGGTATACAAGTATAAAATATGATAAACAAGATGAACAAGGAAAGGCCGCGTTCAATGAACGCAACCCCCGCACGACCCAGGAACAAGAACCATTTGCAAGGAACCCAGGAGGATCCTTAACAAAAACAGGACGGCGCAAGAGAGAGCACGGTCTGGCTTATCACTAAAATGATACAAAATGATAAATATAAAGTAGTAAAGGTAACATACAAGGAAATCAAAATCAAAGAAAATAAATAAATGAATGATTAATAGGACCATTAAGTAAACTGGCACAGTGGTAGGGGATAGGAAATTCGGGGAAGGGGGAGGGGGCGGAATAAAGAAATAAAACTAGGGGCAAAGGGAAGATACTTACCATAGACGAGAAAACAACAAGGGACACAAACAAAAGTGTCACCAAAACAGTATGAAACAACAAGACATACACCTTATACATGTATAAGTCTCTTAATCTGTTCATTTGAAAATTCTTATCTTCTCAATGACTTTTTTTAATATCCTCTACTTAAAATTTATTTCAATTAAAATATGTGACCCTTCCCTTATAGTTACACAGCATATGGCTTGATCACAATAAAGTTCCTTTTTTAGTAAATTAATAAAGTATGTCAAGAAGACATTTAACTTTATCAGTAGGTTTAATATGGTATTATAATATATATCAGCAATAGGTGAAAAAGAATTCCTTTATTTCTTTTACATTATTAATTGTCATTTAAATATGCATGTATAAATGAAGTCAGTATTTTATCGGCAGTCATTAGCAGTAAACAAGAAGGCAAACCATCTATTGATAAATGTTGAGTACATGTATTAAAACATTTAAAAAATATTAAACAACAGTACTTGTACGGAGCCTATTTGCTACCATTGTATTTTAGGTTTAACACATTGATACTTTTCAATAGTGTTTAATAATGCACAAATTTATTTAAAAATAATGAAAAGATTTATTTCCCCGATATTTTTTTGAAGTTTAATCTTCATGCGTAACCCACACTTACCTGCTAGACACACTGGTTGCTACTACCAGCTTTCACGGAATCGATTTTTTACGATGACGTCATAACATGTCCGCCGGAGATAGTGTATACAGTACAAATTTGAAATAAATCGCATGTATGCGTTAAAACAGGTACAATCTAATATTTTTTCTAGGAGAAGCTAGTACTAGAATTTATATTCTATTGATTTTTAGAGGACACTGAAGTTACTTTCAGGTTTAAGCAGTAAAAATCAGTCCAAACTATCGATAGTGTTGCCGGTAGATTTTCCGTGCGTAAAAATGACAGTTAAAATTAGGCGTAACGGTTTGACAGTAAGAAAAAAAGTCTGTAAAATGGGTCAAACCGTTCACGCCAAATTAATTAGGCTAGGTTCTTTGACACTGCACTCCCCCTCAATGCCCTCTACCACTGTATGAAGTTTAAACAAATTATCTCCAAGGGTTTTCAAGTTATGCTCCGGACAAGAAAACGGACGGACAGACGGACGGACGGACAGACGGACAAGGCGCCGACTATATGCTCCCCCGAAATTTTTCGGGGAGCATAAAAAAATTGAAAAGCAATGACAGCCATCACTCGAAAAATAAGTAAAACAACCCAGCGTTCCTGAGCAAGCTTCAGGGTTTTCCATATTCCTAGCTCCTTTTTTGAATGTTTTCACATCTGTCAACACTTATTTTTGTCTGTTACAATCCTCAAATAAGTTTTCTTTCTTTTAAAAAGGTGAATGACTAACAAATCCAAATTATATCCCTCTGTATCTTACACAATTATTTTCCTCCCATGAAATACACAACTTTAAAAAATGGCTGCCGCTTACATTTTACAAAGGCTGGTCTAATATAAATTCGCAGTAAGTAACAGAAATATGGATGGATGGTTGGACCTTATCTCCTACACGAATTGTTTGTTTTTATTATTAAAACAAGCGATCATTCATATTTTTTAATAAAATGAATAAATATCACCGTCATTTAACGTTGATTGGCGGACTTATTTTGCAGCTCAAGACTTCTTGTTTTTAATGAGAAATTCCGACTAAATGGGGCTCTCAATGGGGAAAACATATTTTAATATTAACGTTAAAATTATGGAAATTTCGTTTTTACTTGTTTTTAAGCATAAAATAAAAAGAAAATTTATTTGTTTATTGTGTAAGATGTAATTTTATTTCATCTCGTTAACTTTAAAAACAGTATTCTCACTCGTGGCTACGCCACACGTGAGTATACTGTTTTTAAAGCCCACTCGATGAAACAAAATTTCATCTTACACACAAACAAACAAATATCCTCTATATATTATGAAAAACAATATTGTCCAATTAAAATTAATATTTACTTCAATGCGTTTTGATTTTTCTACAAGCAAATTTAACCAGTGATTCTAATTTACACAATATTCAATATACTCCTAAACACACTTTATATTTGACAAATGTTTGCTTTTTAAAAGTTTTCTAGTTACTACACTTTACTAAAATTTCAGTATTTGATTTATGTAGATGTCTTATCCGAGTGGTTTTAAACAATGTTGAAAGCTTATTCGACAAGTATAATATCCTTGAGACAAACTTTATGAAATTCTATGTGCGTCGAGCGAATTCGCTTGTCTTCTTGTTTATATAATGACATATTATGCCTCGGAAAAGAATAAATTTAAAGGAGCAAACATTAGTTTACAACGTTTAAATAAATACTTGATTTACAATTATGTTTAATAAAAATAGCAAAATGCAGACAAAGTTACTATGATATTTTGACTTCCATACAAAATACTAAATCACTATAACTGTACCAATTGCCAACGTGAAACATATGCAAATGATGGTTCAAGTCATTGGTAGTCGTCCCGTAAACTATGTAAATATAAGCATCGTAAAATATGGTGTGGATGGAAGTTCTCAAATGCTCAATCCGTAATTTGCTTAAGAAACAATATTGGACATGTTGAAAATATTTCTATTATCTTATTCTAACAAGATGCTAGGTTTTAAAAAACAATTTTAATTTTGCCTTTATGTCTACTTGAAAACTCCAGAATTGAACATTCTTTTTTATTACTTCTTTGGCAGTGGAAGCTTCAATTTGAAATGCCACATTGTATTTGAAGCTATATCGTCCTTAACCTGATGAGATCAAAAAAGATCACCCTTAAGTATAGAGTAAGAATAGTATGACTAGTATTTGGCGTTGTTAGAGTTTTATTGTTTTTGGGCTCTCTTTAAGGATGCTATTTCACGCTTTTTTCTTAAAGATCAGTTATGCCTCGACAATTTTTCCTTTTTTACAAAGGGTACAAATGTGTTTGATAACGATTTTTAATGGATGTTAAAGGCATATATGATCATTTTCACTCACTGGATTGCATGTAGAAAATAATTGTCATTAAGGTAGCAAAACGTAAAAAGAGATACTTTCAATTTCATACAAAATACTTAAACCATTAATAGTGTAACAAGAGACTTAAAATACAATTTAGGACAAAATTCGCCTTAAATTCTGGGTTTTTTTATATCTGAATCCCTTAAATATGATGGCTGATTTACGCCATGTCGTGTTTTCGCTTCTTTGCCTCGAAAATCCGAAAAAGCGAAAACACGAAGAGACGACAAAGTCCAACTTTCGCATTTTGAGGCAAAGACGCAAAAAATATAACATGGCGTAAATCGGCCACCATACTTAAATGTTGAATTAACCGCTCTTAATTCATAGCGAGACAATTCCATACACATTCAGCAGACAAGTTAAGGGTTAAAGTGTATAGAGTTATATATCTGCTGCCAGCAGTTTACTAAATGTTTCTTGAACTTTTTTACGTTTCGCAATGCCTGCTTAAAAGAAATGCATTGGAATATTTCAATTTGACCAAATGGCTCATGCACAAAACATTGCTAAACAATTCAAAATAGAGAAAATAAGAATCATTTAAGAAAGTCCGAAACAATAGAATTGAAAATGGTGCAGACTCGATTTGATTGAGCCTGTTCATGAACGGTACTGTCAGGTGCAATCTATCGCCCGATGCCCATGCCCCCTAGTACCATACGGCGGTTATCATCGAACCTTCAATGCGGGACTCAAATGTCAGCGGGTTCCCAAGTTATTTTAAGCATGTGTCCTAAACAAGAAAACAATGGACGGAACTATACAAAATGGAATTTTGAAAGGGGATCAGAACTTAAACCCACATACGATAGCAGAGTTATTTTTATTACGGAACATGTCATTCTGCACAGTTTCAGATGTGTTAAATAAGAGAAATATTCTTTGTTGAGAATCGTAAGATTTACTGCTTTTAATTTTTTCTATTCACTAGGTATAGATTATACCCTTCAATTTAATTTCCACAATAAACTTTCGACTGATTACCTAGCAAACACAATAGAATATGACTCTCTTTTCCTGAGTAACGTTTACCCATGAGATTCAATCAAGCTTTTATCACTTATCATCATTCTATCTCATATAATTTTAGTGATTCATTAACAAGATGATATTGATCAATACTCGTATCACCGAATTATGTCATTATTTCATACATAATTAATGCTTTGTCACCTAGAAAATCATTTATTGTTTCTATCGTAATGATTATATTTATATAGTTTTTAATGTAGTTTTTACAACCGGTAGGAGACACAGTCATGTAAGTTGGCGGGCACAACATAACCGCCATCACAATCTGATGACGTTAGTTTTCTTCCAACCTTTGTGGTAAGAGCGTTTTTAATCCGTTCAGCTTCACCATTCAATTTAGGTGATTCATACATTGTCCAGCATGAATTTTTGCAAATCCGGGTCAGTATACAATGTTCCTGAATGGGCGGAAGGGTCAATATAAGAGAAGGAAGCCATAATATATTTTAAAGATAGGTTACCAACTGGACAACTATAATCTACATTTTAGTCTACAATGTTTGATGTCAGGGTTATTTGATCGAGATAAGGCGCTTACCTAGTAATATACAAGTTGTAACCGCAATACATAATTATTTATATTGAAAAATTGCAAATAAATTGCAAAAATTTTAAAAAGATAGATATAAAATATTTTCTAGATATTCGGTACAGAGAAATTACTATGTGTTTTGCGTTGCTATTGTTGTTGTTGCGTATTCTTTCCTTTTTTTTTTTGAAAGTCATGTAATCCTTATCATCTAACTTATTAAATGTATTATCTTTTTCACGAACATTCTTAAACTGAGCATTAATAAATTGGAATTTTAAGTTCTTTTTGTAATAAATATATAAATATGTAAAAGAGGAAAGTATATATATCTGAAAGTACAAGTTATCTGCGTACAAAACACAAACCATAGTTGGTTGACATAGCACACCGTATTACCGGCGGCAGTGATGGCAGATCACTGCAGTGATGGCAGATATCTGAAAATTACCGATCGGTACAGGTAGGTTATAAATTTGGTTGGTTTAATTATATTACACAAATACGGCCCATTTCATTGCTATAAAACTATTGTTCATTGAATGGAGATACTGTAAGGTAATTTTGGACTCGTTTTTTCCTGTTTTAAGACTATTTTGAGCAGGTTAAAAGTGAAAGCCTTGGAAAAATCCGTGAAAATGTCTGTTTTCTGTTCAAAATATCTCATGTTTTAAGTAAATGGCAGGATTTCCTGTTATCAATATAGACGTTCATCCATTGGGGTCACGCAAGCCAAATATCTACCCCGTGAGTCTTTTCTTGAAAGTTTTACAGACGCTCAATCTTGTCCGGTCGAAGAAAAAATGCTGCCGTTGTAGGCAGATACATATTATAAATGCTGCCGTCGATGGCAGAAATACCATGAAAGTGGCTAACATTCTGACAGAAAATCAAGTTCAATCTTTTATCAATTCCTCTTTTCTTAGCGTCCTTTTAGTCAGAATTGAGACGTTAAACTATCATTTCTAATATTTTCTCAAGATAGAAAAGTTATTAACCCATTACCCCATGAGCATCTTGTGAAAAATGGCTGTTTTCATTGAAAGGTCTCCCGTTACAAGTTCAAGTTGCTATAAAACTATAAAAACTGCTTCAATACTAATCAAACTATCATTTCTAATATTTTCTTAAGATAGAAAAGTTATTAATGCGGTGTGTGCATCGAAAAAAGCTTTTTAGCAACATGCAGTTACAATACAAAAAGTGATGATTTAGTACGACAAAATTTCACTATAAATAGAGAAATGAACATGAAAAACTTCATTTTTCTATATTCATGCATGTGTGCTTGATCTGTTCATATGAATTGAAAGGTCAAAAAAGAGAAAAAGAATAAAACGAATAAAAAAATTCTAGTTTTTTTCCTATAAATACAGGATTTATTTTCATCTTGTGATATGAATCATCGAAAAGTTCATCTTTATAAGTTGTCATGGTTACAACTAAAATGAATGAAAAAATATATAGTTAAATGGGAGCACGTGATGTTAGAACTGTTGTTAATAGTTTAGCATAGTAAATGTAATTCAAAGGCAAACTACAACGCTATTACAAACATGAAAATTAAAACAAATGAATCCACGTTGTCGTGTTTTTCAAGAACTTGATAAT